GCATTTCGAGATTCCAATCCCAATACCAATTCCAACAACCACCCACCACCCACCATCGCCCTCTTTCCATCGCGAACAGATTCAAGAACAACAACAGTCACCCATAGAGCTCGCCCACCCAGCCATGCTCAACCACCCCAACGTCCAAACGGTCCATGCGCAATACCCATGAGGCCGCCCTAGCTCAGCCTCGCAGTTCTCCCCTCCCCCTTCGCCTCGCCTCGCCTCGCCTTAAAGTCTCGCTGGTTCGCTGTGTATAACCAATGTCGTGGGACCTGCTCAAACGCTTCCTCGAGTCCGATGTCTTCAACTCAAATCCCTTCCTCTCCGTCTCGTACCTCTCGTGAGCCATCCTTCTCGTCTCCTCCGTCAATTGCCAGCGCTAACCATCGTGTGTCTCCTCTTCCCAGGCGCTATGCCGATCACGTCGGCATCCACTACGTGCTCTGCAACAAGTTGCGACAGTTCCCTTACGAGGACATTGAGTTCTTCCTGCCGCAGCTATGCCACCTTATAATCAGCGTCGACAATGAGTCCATGGCCCTGGAAGAATTTTTGCTGGACTTATGTCAGGAATCTGTCACCGCTGCCCTTTTGGTTTGTTGCCCCTCATACCTAGGCAAGGCGCCTCAAGGGGGTGACCGACAAGCAGCTGACTTGATGTTGCAGACATTCTGGCTCTTCCAGACATACCTGCACGACCTCTCCTTGACACCGCAAGCCAAGGCCTTCCAGACATGTCGGCGGGTGTACAACAAGGTCCAGCATATCGTTTTCGGCCTCCCCGATGCCGCTCGACACGAGAGAATCAAGGAGAACACATTGCCCGTCACGGTCCTCGCCAGCTTCGTCCTCGCCAGCGTCGCCGTGCCAATGCTCCCCTCCTGGGCTGGACCTCTGGCCGTCGCGCAAGCTCGCAAGCCCCAGCCGTCCGAGGACCTGATATCCGAGACACGTGAGAGCGCGAAACCGCCAGCCCGCGCCCACACCGTGACTGCCGTGAGCTCTCGGTCGAAGCGCATCAAGGACGGAAACAGGACTACGAGCGCCCCCGACCCAAAGGGCCCGGCAGGACTGCCTCACAGCCCTTCACAGTCATCGATCGTCCGCCAGAACTCGGGTGATTCGGCCAAGACACCCACAGAGCCCAAGCGACCATCCGCTCTGGCGATGAAGTCACTCGAGGCCCGCCTAAGCTCTTCTTCACTGCCTCTGCCAGAGCTGCGATCGCCGCGCATGGTCACTCGGCCATCGACCCCCGTGTCTGCCGGAATTGTGGCTCGCCCGGGCGAGCTCATGTCCAGGAGGCATTCACACCATCCCAAAAGCGGGCTGGACGTCTCCGATCTCACATGGAACCAAAAAGTCGGGCTCTTGCGGCAGAACTACTTCCGATGCCAGACCCAACTCCTCACAGCACTCGAGGGCATCTCCAATCGCCTCGTCATCGTGCCCAAGCCTGCGCGGCTCAGCGCCTTGCGCGCCGAGCTTGCTTTGATCGCGCAGGATCTGCCGGCCGAGGTTGACGTGCCGGTCATCTGTCCGCCAACGCTCGTTAATGGATCTCCGAGCAAGAGCCGACATCACCGAATCGTACGACTGAACCCTGCGGAAGCGACGGTACTGAACAGCGCAGAGAAGGTGCCCTTTCTACTCATGGTCGAAGTCTTGAGGGACGACCTCTCGTTCGACCCAGGCTCGGTCGACAATCAGAGATTGCTTGCGACGCTTGTGACTGAGGAGGGGAGCTCAAGGCGCATATTCGACTTGTCCGAATCGAAGCGAAGGATACCGGCCCTCGCGCGGGCCTTGGAACCAGTTGATGCCGTGGTCGACAGCGTCTTCGAGCCTGTGTCGGGCGATCTCGGTAGTTCGCCGCTGCTAAGACCATCCGACGACGAGCCGACAAGCAAATACCAGGGTAAGCATATTGCAGCCAACCATCCGCAGCGACTATCGAGCGGCGGCACGACAATGTCCAGCACGGTCTCGGACGTCGCCACCCCTCGGAGTTCGGGCGGCTCCACGCGATCGAGCAGCCCGGGACCGTCGCGCAAAATGACGCTTACGGCCCGCGCCAACACATCCGTAGACCAGCCGGATATATCGGCGTTGGCGACACACATGCGCACGGCCTCGCAGATGCTCGCGCAGCTGGACGCGACGAGTGGCAAGAGGCCGAAGGGCGAGGTGGCAGCCATCCGAACGAGAATCATTGCCAGCATGCAGACCTTGGAGGAACAGAGTTTCGACCTGGACGATGGCACGGGGCCAACCTTTGACACGATCATCGCCAAGGCTTCAGCGGCGCAGGCCGCCCTCGACCCCGACCTCGACGAGACGACGCCGGCTGAGGCGAATGTCAACACGGCGGCCGGTCTGGCGCGGATGGAGAACGACATCAAAACGGGCGGACTGCAGCGAAAGAGTGATCGGGACGACCCCAGCGCGGCCGTCTTTGGCGAGGCATGGCAGGCCAAAAAGGAGCGCATACGAAAGACTTCACCGTACGGCTGGATGAAGAACTGGGACCTCATCAGCGTCATCATCAAGACGGGCGACGACCTTCGGCAAGAGGCTTTTGCGTGCCAACTGATCCAGGTGTGCCACAAGATCTGGATTGATGCAGGTGTCGACGTATGGGTCAAATTGATGCGCATTCTCGTCACGGGGGAGAGCTCAGGGCTCGTCGAGACGATCACAAACGGTGTGTCGCTGCACTCGATCAAGCGCAGCCTGACTATGTCCATGATGGAGGCGGTACCAAACCAGCGGTCACGACGGCTGGCGACGCTCAAGGACCACTTCATCAAGGCGTTCGGTCCGCCAGAGAGCGAGCCGCACCGAGCCGGCGTTGACGCGTTCAAGCGCTCGCTTGCGGCATACAGCATCATATCGTATATCCTGCAGCTTAAGGACCGGCATAACGGCAATGTGCTCATCGACAGCGAGGGCCACATTGTGCACATTGACTTTGGTTTCATGCTGTCCAACTCGCCAGGCTCGGTCGGGTTCGAGGCAGCGCCGTTCAAGCTAACGCACGAGTACGTTGACGTGCTTGGGGGTATCGGGTCGGAGGATTATGATGACTTCAAGCGGCTCTGCAAACAGGCCTTCCAAGGTGAGTCCAGCAGTTGCTCTCGTGTCTTGGGAATGTAACTGTACTAAAACATGCGCAGCTCTCCGACGCTCGGCGGATAACATTATTGACCTTGTGGCCATGATGGGTCGCGAGTCCAAGATGCCGTGTTTCTCGGCAGGCGTGACGCAGGCGACGTACAACCTGCGTCAGCGCTTCCAGCTCCAGCTTAGTGCGGACGAAGCTGAGCAGTACGTCGAGACGGACCTGATTGGCAAGTCCTTGGGAAGTTACTACACGCGACTGTAAGTTCCTTTCCTGCGCATGCGGCCCCTGCGCCGTGAAAACCATACCTTGCCTCTCTGCTCCGACGTGCCAGGAACTTGACTGACGTGTTTCCCAGTTATGATACCTTCCAGTATAGGACGCAGGGAATCTACTAGGCCGTGCCGGGCGAGCGAGAGCCACGCATTTGGGTGGCGTTTCGGGGCGGGAATAGAACGGTGGTGGATGCGTGTCTATAGGATAGCCAGGGGCCCCCAGCTGGCCTTCTCGGAGAGATTTGCCAAAAGGAAGAAGAGGGAGAGACGGTTTCTTTATGTTTGTGCATGCGGCGCATGTGAGTGGACGTGGATGAACAGAAGAAGCATGGCGATTCTGAACCAGACGCCGAGGCGGGGCCCCCTGAAAGGGCTTTGAAATTTCAAGCTGCATTGTGGTGTCTGAGACTGACATGGCTTGTTGTCCGAGAGCGTGCGTCGTTGGCGGCAGCCTTGTGCTCACCGTGGCGTGGCTGGCTGCATGGAAAATCGTGGTCGCCTTACGAGCGCTGATGGCTGTCATCCATCTTGGCACAGCCCCCCTTTCCCACCCCCCCGGGTCGCTCGCCTAGCTACCATGCCACCCGAGGCGGCCGGTGCCGCGGTCCCTGGCCTTTTTCTTTCCTTTCCTTTCCTGCCATTGATAGTCCGAAGCTGAAGACCGTGAGGCATCCACACACTGTCCGACCCGTGTAGGCAGCCTGCTCTGAGGCCACATCATTCGTCGTCCGGTTTCTTGGTAGAGAGGACAGGCAAGGTTGATAGAGGCGTACGGGGCGATGATGTTCTAGGGGGGTTGGCGTAGGTGTGTGTGTGTATGCCGACGAAAAGTGTCGGGGGCCGGGGGGGGGGGGCATTTAGTCACATATCGTTGCAATCGCGGGGGAGAGAGTGTCCGACTGCAGTTCGGTGTCGAGTAAAGGGCCGGCGGCGAGGCTGTGTGTGCGCTTTTCATGCTGCCTTCTAAATGAGGGACGTTGCTCTGCACATGCCGTGGGGGGAGAGGAAGAGAGGGGAGGGGGCGACATGCGACGGTGCACGAGGCTGGCCTGTGATGTTGGAGCCGCGGACTTTTGTTGCCTGCCAGGCGAGACGGCAACTACAGTGTCACAGTGGGATGGAGGAAACTCCGGGTTGGGGTATCGGAGCTCTGAAGGGCAAACACATCTCGTCCGCTCTGTAAGGTTAGGCACGTTCTCTGTCTGCTAAACAATAATGAGTCTTGTTGGAGCGTGTCTTGGACCCCCTTCGAGGTTGGCTAATACCAAAGCACCCCTGATGATGCGAATCGCGCTCTTGCCACGAACGGACGCCAGACATAATGCAACTCACTCAACCCCAGGATACCCTCGAGTCCCTTGACAAGTTTCCGGAACATGTACAATTTGAGGATAAACGTACTCTAAAAGAACCATGCAGAATAAACAACAAGGCCTCAAGATACACCAGCCATCAGAAAAGGAACTGCCATAGACTCCCAAGACACTACTCCCTTGTCACCTTTTTTCCGTTTTCACTCTATACATATATGACAACCTTTCAGTGTAAATTGCAAACAGACTCAAAAGACCCAATCAAACGGACAAGCCTCCAATCAGCAATCACGCTTCGTCTTCGTCGTCATCGCCATCAGCGTCGGAGTTTGGCTGCTCCGTGATACTGTCCCTCCAGACCTCCACTTCGAAGAACGGCACAGTCTCCTTTCCGAAGAAGAAGCTGAGGTCGTCTGCTGCAAACAGAGCCATGTCGCAGGCGACGCCGTCGAGGTGCGCCCGGCGCGCCTTGGCCCGGTAGCCGCTCGTGTTCTGCTGACCCACGCATGCGATGGCGCCGACGAGCAGGGCGCGGAGGCTTGGGCGTGAGATGGTTGTCAGGACGTTGACGGGCGCGGTTTCGTTGTTGGCTGCCGCGTTGATAGCCAGGCGGACGGCGAGGCGGACGGGCAGGAGGGGTGGGATGAGCGGGGGCACGCGGGGGTGCGTGGTGAAACGGGGTGGGGGAGCTGCTTCTCCTGCTGCCCGCGAGGGCAGGGCAAGGCCTTTTGTGCCATGGGCCGAAAGCCTGGGAGCTGGATGAGGCGGAAGACGGGGAGGCGGCGGCGGAGGTGGCGGCGAGCTCTGATAGCGGGGAGCTGAGTCGGACAGTGAAGAGGAGGGCAAAGGAGGAGGAGGAGGAGCTGGGAGGGAGACGGGCCGGGTCGTGTTTTGACCCGTCTTGTACCTGTTCAGAAGTTTCTTCGCACGGGTGATCTTGGCCTGCAGTTTGAGTTCTTCCCAGTCGGAGTCGTCGGATGAACTGTCGTAGGCCGATCCCTCGGACTGTCTCGTGGCGACGGGCGGCCTGCCTAAGGGAGTAGGTGGCGACACCGTCGACGCTTTCTTCAAGCTCAGGTACCGGTGAACATGATATGCTGACTTGATGAACAGACCCTTAAGTGCCAGTTCAACACTATATCCTTGGTCTGTGAGAACGACCGTCTTGCAGTTGTTTCGTGCCTGAACAGCCAATGCGTGCCAGACTTTTGCCGTCGGGTCTCGAGACGTGACGACGCTGATGTGAGCATCAGACGGACATGAAAAGCTAAGGTTATCTGTGGCCTGTCAATCAGCGAGCTGGCCATGCGAGGAGCGACCTTCTCAGTTGTCTGCTGAGAAGAGGATGAACGACACCGACTGGAGCAGACATACCGGAGATTTGCTGCCGAAGATAGCTCCAGGTCTGCAACTGGGACTCGGGTGACATGTTATGTCCACGCATCGGTGATGTCGAGGAGAGCGGGATAGGAGTCGTGACAAGCATAAAGGGTCGTTGAGGAGGGCTTCCGCATGTTCGGATCACTGAATATATCCTCAGAGAGATCCACACGGTCAAGGTGGAATGGATGGGGTAGGGTATTCAATACCCGAGAACGATGAGGGAGAGCAAAGATCTGAAGAAGGAAGACGCCGGGTACTTATTGATGTGCGCTTCAGCGACGATATTCATCGGGTCCGACCCTGTCGAGAGACGGCGACCAGGAGCGAGGTACCTTAACGGGAAGGAAGGTACCTCGTCGTGAAGGTACCTTGAAAGGAAGGAAGGTACCTTGTCGGGAAGGTACCTTCAAGTGAGGGAACGGTGCTTGTCAGACGGTGCGCGGCTCTCAAACCAGAGCGGGCAAGGGGGCTGGCCACAAGTCAAAAGTGAGGCGGACAACTAGCCAGCCAACAACTCTACTTGACATTCAGGCTCGTGCCGAAGGCGAACACAGAAAAGGTCTAAGACCTCCCATATTTATTGTGCCATCAGACCGGCGAGCAGCAAGTACCACATGACGACGCTCATCACCACGGCACACACAGAGGGGCGGGGTCGTAGACCGACCCCATGACGATGCTTTTGCAACATCGGCATGTACCCCAAATGCCAGGTCAACCCATGTCGGCGAGGCGTCGAATGCCGTTCGGCTGGCAACCTATGGCAGCCGCGGCTACAGGCCTGTTGCCACCAAACCTGAAGCGGCTGACTACCTAAAGTCATCCATCAGGGCAATCTGAAGACAGCATGTACTGGTCCGCTCGCCCATCGGGAGCTCACCTTCTGCTGCCGGACCTTTTTCTCAAAGTCGAAAGGAATGGCCAACTAGCACAAACGACAGGGCAGGTTGGGCAACAAGCAATGGTGTCAGACAAACAACGACGAACAGGAGGGGGTAGGAACTCAAAAAACGAAACCAGTGGCATCGTCATGCAGAAGAAGTCGAGTAGTGTTGAGAAGCATGCCGCCACGCCGACACACACACACACATCGCACCTTGCATGTGGTTCGACCGGCATGAAAGCAGCGTCGTAACGCGCGCTATGCTGCTGTAACCTCCCGCATGCTGAACGGTGAACGTCGGTGAACCAAGTGGCGCGAGGGCCCGGAGATTGGAATGTGTCTCCTAGGCGGTATGGCGGCGTACAACCCAGAGAATCTGCTCACAATGGCAAAACTCTTGCATTGCTTCGCCCGGCGTGGCGTGACGGCCAGGGGAATTCATGTTTTCTCGTTTCCGCGTCTCCCCGCCTCTGCCAGGTATCCGAAAGAAAACCAGTCTCCCGCCCATCTTGCCTCACTTAATCAGGCATCTCAACCAGTGCGACAAACTCCCTGGCCGTCGCCAGTCCTTATTGTTGAAGGAGATGACTGCCACATCAGGTTCTCGAACACGCAATGAATGTTGGGCAGCAAAAACAAGAGCCCGCTGGTGTCGTCCCAAGATGTAAGGCGCGGACACCGTGCAACGACAACTGAGGAGTGTCTGGCCAGTTCTGCTGGTAATGCTGTCCAACTTGCAGGCAGAACCAAGCAGTGAGTACAAGGTGACGGCCGTTCTTCTGAAAACCAGGGTCCGGACCTTATCAGTGAAATGTCAGCCCTGGCCACTTGACTCAGCGACAGATCATACCCTGCCTGGTACGGGCCGACGCAGAGCCAAATGCTGGAGGTTCGTCGCCTAGTCAGGCAGCCGACCGACAGGCGGCATGGAACCTAGGACAGAACTGACCACAGCTCGAGACACATCTCACGAGGTTGGGCATTCAACTCCTCTGCGCATGGAGAGCCCCTGCTCCGGCAGTGTCGATAGATTTTGCCAATAACGTCAATCACCTTGCTGCCTCATCCCGGGGCTTGTAGTGCATCCAAACCTCCTTCTCGTCCCAGGATGACTCCATGCTTGCCTTCGTCGCTCGTGGTCGTATTCCGAACCCGGTCATAACACCGGTACTCGCCTCTCACCCTGGGCTACCTGGTACTACTATATTACATCTGCAAAGCAGTCAACCGCGCAGTGACCGCCTCCACGAGGGCAGTCTCGCGGTCCAAAAGTCCGCGAACCTGTCTTAACTTGGCCTTTCGGACCTCCGAAGGTATCCTGAGATCGCCTGACTGTGAGGCCGAAAGCTCTTTACCCTCTTTGTCGTTGGCGCCCTCGGCAACCTCGCTCTCTTTTTGTATCCGTGCCACCTCACCCACCAATTCCTCACGCAGTTGCTGCACAGCTTGCACCCGCTTGGACATTTGCGACTGCGTCTTGGCAGTTGGTGCATCCCGCGATGTTGAGCCCAACAAACTGGCCTCCAGACTTTTGACTTCCTCGACCAATGCCCTCTCTTTGGTGCTGAGCTCACGTGTTGCAACTTTGCCTGCGTGCTTCCTGATGCGTTCCAGGCGTTCACCAAGCTCGCGTTGCCGGTCCTGTGCCCGGGCGATACGACGCTCAAATCTGGCCTCGTCGCTCTCGCCCTTACCCTCGCCCTCTTTATCGTTGCCCGAGATCCTGTCAATCTTGTCCTTGACTTCGTTGGCTTTGTAAATTTGATCCTTCAGCTCCTGTTGCAAGGTGCTGCAACGCCGGAAAAGCTCTGCCACGGCAACCGCCAGCTTGTGCGTGTCGTCACCGAGTACCCTGTGGGCGTCCGTCAAGATCTGCAACGTCACTGGCGATAGCCGCACCTCCTGATTGAGTATCGTGCGATGACGCGAGCTCCGCAGCATGGAAAGAAGCTCTGGGAGGCCAGACTGTTGACCAAAAGCATGCGAAGGCTGGAAAGCTGGGCGGGGCTCGTAGAAGTCCAGGGGTTGCATGTCTGCCATTTTCTCCTCGTGCAAAGGAGTTTCCTGGCGAACCGGACTGAAGTCTTCTTCAGGGGTCTCAAACGTGAGGGCGATGGGTTCGAACGCCGTTCCTGACAACAGGAAGTAGCCCAGGTCAGGATCGCGAATGGCGGCAGCAGCGGCAAGTGGGACCAAGACATCAGCAGATGGCTGCGTGTATAGTCTTTCGCGGGTCGAGTTTTGTCCGTTGACAAGGAGTCCCAGTCGAAAGTCCGCCCCAGCCTCTACATCGCCCTGCAACTCGCCCTCAAGGCGGAACACCCAGGGCGACAACGAGATGTATGTCAAACCAGCGTGATGAGAAATAAAGAAAGAATAGCGCGATGTGACATCTGCAGAGAACATTGGCCAGCTGTCTTCCGCGACCTCGGTCGGCCCCATAGTGTCGATCGATTGGAACGTCAGTAGGGATGGGGGATCGGCAAGCTGAGCGAGGCGACTGATCCTTGATTTCTTGCCCTTCGGGGGCAGCCATTGGGCCTCGACGCCCTCCAGGTCAAGCAACACTCTGACCTGGCCGGATGAAGAAAGAAGGCAGACGATTGACAGGGACAGGCCTTCTTGTTCGCCTTCGTCCATATCCAATAATTCATCCTCACCCATCATGAGCTCCTCCGTATCGATTTTCTTCCCAATAACATGGATATCGGTCAGGAGACCATCAAGGTCATCGCCTTCAGGATCGGCAAGGAGATCAAAAGGACCTTGCAGGCGGGGCACAGCGCCTGGCTTTGATGGTCGATTGTAGATTTCCACGGAAGGTTCGGCGATACCCGCCTCGATAATGCGAGGCTCTTGTGAGTCAATCTCACCCATCCACTCGAGCTGCTGTTGGGCTAGAAGCCTGGCATGCTCCGTAACGTCAGGGTCATCTTCTATCGCGGCGACCTTGGCGACGATCGAAACGGAAAGCGACGGGATCAGAGTAGGAGGCGGCGCCCAGCGTTCGGGAAGCAGAGGGCACAGCGCGTACACGTCTCCCTCGGTCATGGCAACCCAGAGCGTCATTGGGCTCCAACCGCCCGATCCACGCCCGGCGAAGCATGCCGAGGCGACCTCCATCTCATAACTATCGGGCGAAAATGCTGTGCCGGCAGAGGTTGACGCCGTGAAATCCTGGTCCAGTGTTTGACCGTCTGCGAGCTTCTTCAGGTCGATAGATACGGTAGGCTTGTCGGTGGACCATCGATTCTCAACGGAAAGCTCCCAGAGCCGCACGGTGGCGTCCGTCGTCACCGTCACCACGCAGGAGCTCTTGACCCCCAACGGGTGCCACAGGGCAGAGGCCAGTGGTGCCGCAGTCGAAACGTGGGTGGTCGGGCCAACCATGCGAAAGTTGGTTTTGAGAGGTCCTGTGTCATCGGATGTCAAATGCGAAGGATCGGGCAAGGCGCAGACGTGGATGGTGTGCGAGGTCAAGACGGCCAGGTGGTTCGAGTCGGGCGATATGATGAGCTGTCGGATGTCCATCGCGACGGGTGTCTTGATGGTCTAGTCCTTTTGTTAGCCAATATCTGTACCCCGAATCAAATGTGTCCTACACGAAAGCCCTCAGCTGCTGCGACTTCCTCGATTGAGGGCTGCAGATCATCTGAATCCTCCCTCTTGATCTTGCTGGCGGAGCGTCCGCCGGGGTGTTTGGCAGTCCATTTCTCCTTCAAGTACGCCAGGTCACCCCATCGCAATTCTTTGCCGACGGCGACAAAGACTTCAGTGCCGCGACGAGCGATGGTGCGTTTGGACCCAGGAATGTTCTGCTTTTTAGAGTTGTAGGGTGATGCAGCGTCTGGAGATGGAGCAAATAACCGCTGACCAGGCCCTTGCGACAGCCATGGAGCCGTATAGCTCTTAATCTTTGGCATAGCGGCCGTCTGACTGGAATCTTGTCCCCCGTCGATGGTACAAAGAACCGGTGTGCCTCTCAGAAGGTAGTAGCTCTGGACGGTGAGCTCGGTGCGGTATGGCGAGTTGGGAAGATGCGAAGTTAGCCCAGCCGCCGGGATGGAAGGTGTGCAGGACGAAGCTTGCCCCAAGCAGCCCAGAAAACAGAGCCTAGCGCGATGCAGTTGACCGGACAGGCACGACCCACGGACAGGGAAGGGACCACACACTCACCGAGATCGGCTCCACTTCCGTGCGCCCTGCTCTGCTCTGACAAGCTTAAGCTTCATAGACTTCAATTGGTGTCTGTTCTTGCCAGTGCCTGCTCCTGCTCATATCGAGTTTATCTTTGTCGCCTCAACCGAGAACACGCATACCTCTAATTAGTTACAGATATCCCCAACGCCAGAGCTCATCCGGGATCGTCTCAGAAAGATCGCGAACGGCTACAGCGCACGCATCGCCACGGCAGAACGATAGCCCCTCTGCCACCATGACCCAACACATTCGCAGTACCGTCGAGCGCCTCGACAGGCCAAGTGCCTACTATCACAACAAGGTGAGCCGCTCCTACGGATGACGTTCCTGGAGACTGTATATCTGACAACCCGCAGAACAAGCGCAGAAGATACAACGACCGCGAAGAGGAGGCCGAGGCGCCTCCTGCTCCCCAGGAAGACCCTCTCGCCAATTCAACGACCCTCTACGTCGGCAACCTGTCATTCTACACCACCGAGGAGCAGGTGTACGAGCTGTTCGCCAAGTGCGGCGAGATCAAGCGCCTCGTCATGGGTCTTGACCGCTTCAACAAGACGCCTTGCGGGTTCTGCTTCGTCGAATACTTCACCCACCAGGACGCGCTGGACTGCATGAAGTACATTGGTGGCACCAAGCTCGACGAGCGCGTCATCCGCACGGACCTTGACCCTGGCTTCGAAGAGGGCCGCCAATACGGCCGTGGCAAGAGTGGAGGACAGGTGCGTGATGAGTATCGCGAAGACTACGACGAGGGACGCGGTGGTCATGGCAGGGCGCTCGAGGCGGAGCGTCTCCAGGAAGTGCAGAATAACAACAGGGGCGCTGAGGCTGAGTATGGACGCACAAGGTGAATGGTCAAGAAAACAGTGCGAGCTACATGTGGTAGGGTAGGGGAGATACCCTCAGCGAGCTGATAGATGAATATATCATGACATCAAGAAGACCTGCAATCGAGTGCCAGCATTCATCCGGTGATGTTTTGCAACAAATTCAATTCCACACCCTCTAGCTGGTTTAAGGTATCCCAGCAAAAACCTATACATATTGTACACAGACGTTTCTTCGGCCAGCCCTCATATGCGCGATTGGCTCGAGTGTAATTCGTCCCAGCTGTACATGAGGCGGTGCATCCATCGATACAGGCCATGATTATCCTGCCAAAGCCCCAATCAAATCGAATGTTGCCAGGACGACGCCCACTGCCACCAGAGGAGAACAACGCTGCTCGTATAGTCGATACTGCCCCCACGAGCGTCCATCTAGTAACCAGGAGGGTTGACTCTCTGCGAAACCCTCGTCCACTTCGGCAGCTCTGTTCGAAGATTAGCACCCGCCAAAACCGCACCTAGATCCCCTCTCCAAACAAGGAAAAAAGCTTACTGTGAATGCCCTTGCGATACCTCTTCTCCTTCCGGTCGAACATGGTGTACTTGTCCTTCGGCAGCATCTCTTGCTCCGTCGGCATCTCAGCCTTCCACTGCTCCACCGCCGCGATCGTCGCGCCGTGCCGCGCCAGCGCCGCGTCCACTGTTGCGATGACGGAGTCGACGGCTCGGAGGCGCTCGCGGTGCCGGCGCTTCTGAAACTTGGAGAGCCTCCAGGGGATCTTCCAGAGGAGGCCGCCCGATAGGGGGGAGGTCATGCGGAAGGGACCGAACATTGTCGTGTTTGCTGCGGGCGTCTTCGTGCCCGGCGGATTCTGGGGGGGAAAGGGCAAGGCGATTGAGAACTCTTCGGCAGTCAAAATTATAGAATGATTCGCCTTAGGCCGTCCGCAGTATGGTCGCGTCGTCGTCGTCGTCGTCGGTCGTCTTGTCGTAGTAAGTTGGTCAAGCCTGTAAATTTTGGATGGAACCTGCACGCAGCTGGCTGTCAGGCAGTCAGGCAATCCGCTACTCGCTGGCGGACTTTTCCCGCTCCCCTGCATGGGCCACGACCATCAATCCACTGGCTGGCCGGCTGGCAGGGGCAAGGCTCCACCCCAGCACAGCAGGCGCCCCCCCCCGCGTCTCCGACCCGGTGAGAGCACCAGTGGTGAGCACTACACCGACAGACAGCCAGCGAGGCAGAGAGTGCCAAAGGGGAGCAGTCTGGTCTCAATCAGAGCAAGCGAAAAACAGCAGACCGAAGGAACAACGCGACCCGACGACTCCAACGGCAGCGGCTCCAACCCATCAGATCGCGACGACTCTCCCACTCCCGCCTACAGCGACGACCGCAGGTGACCGGTCCATGGTCCCCCGACCGCAGCCATGTCGTACTACTTCGTCATAGTCGGCACCCTGGACAACCCCCTCTTCGAGCACGAGTTCGGCACCTCGAAGCAGGGCGGCGACGGCCAGTCGCGCTTCAACGAGCAGGTCCGCCACCTGAACCAATTTATCCTGCACAGCAGTCTCGACATCGTCGAGGAGGTCCAGTGGGCGCAGGGGCAGATGTACGTTCTGGCCCCCCCCCCCTTCCCCCCCAGTGCTCAGCTTTTTCCCATGCTGCCTCCCTCCTCCTCTCACATACAAGCGCCGGCGCGCGTGGTTCTGGCGACGCCTCGCGCTGACCGTCTGCTCCCCAAATAGGTATCTCAAGGTCGTCGACAAGTTCTTCAACAACTACGTCTCCTGCTTCGTCACGGCCGGCAACGTCAAGTTCCTCCTCCTCCACCAGCCCTCTCTGCCGCCTGGGCCGCCGACATCGCGGTCCTCGACGGCCATCGGGGCGAATCCCACGAGTCCCGCGACGGAGGAGGCGGTACGGAATTTCTTCACGGAAGTGTACGAGAACTGGATCAAGGCAATCATGAACCCTTTCTACCAGGTCAACATGGAAGTCAAGAGTCCGGTGTTCAGGCAGAGGGTAGCGGCGGCGGGGCGGAAGTACCTGTAATCCATCCGCTGGATGTTATGGAAATAAGCTGTTGGAACGCAATGATGAGGACAGATACCCCCATGCAGCACAAGTAAACACAAGGACGCGTTCAATTCGAGTCACTGGTCAGGTTCGCGGGCCATCAGATGCAGCACGATCACTACAGATGGGTGAGGAGGTGATTAGGTTACCAAATGTGGTAGTAGTGGTATTCATACGGAGGGCATCATCCTGACGCCTCCTGCTATCGTATCCCCGAGTTTCATGATCCGCCAACGCCATATAGAACCAAATCCCGCCAGCCGGGCCATACCGACATGTGTGGGATACAAGACCAAAAGAACCAATCTACACGTCACGCCGAGTCCGAGCCGAGCCACCCGATCACCAGAGACCAGGCAGACGCGACGAGAAGAACGCGAGCAGAGGGTATCGTATGTGGGTGCAGAAGAGGCAACAGCATTCCGAGGGAAAGCTGCTTAACCACCGAAACCGTAGAGAGTACGGCCCTGGCGCTTGAGAGCGTAGACGACGTCGAGAGACGTGACGGTCTTGCGCTTGGCGTGCTCAGTGTAGGTGACGGCATCACGGATGACACCCTCAAGGAAGGACTTCAGAACACCACGGGTCTCCTCGTAGATCACTGGGAGAAGAGCACGTCAGCATGGTGGCGTGTGGATGATTGACTGGCGACACAACTTACTGGCAGAAATACGCTTGACACCGCCACGACGCGCGAGACGACGGATGGCGGGCTTGGTGATACCCTGAATGTTGTCACGAAGAATCTTGCGGTGACGCTTGGCGCCGCCCTTGCCGAGACCCTTGCCGCCCTTGCCGCCTGGAATCGGTCAGTACGTGTTGACAGTCAAGCAGAAGGCATGTGGCCGATGCGTTGCGACGGACGGGAAACGCGGTCGCGGAACGCGCCCCTCGACCGACGACGATGCACTAGCGACAACAGAGAAATAGATAATACTTACGTCCAGTCATTTTGAATGTGGGGTGAGAGTGTGATGAAGTGGGTTGTTGATAAACGCGTCAAAGATTGACGATGTTGATGATGACGTTGATAGAGACGCGGTGTTGTAATATCGGAGTGGAAGAGGGAAGAAAGGAGAGTGGAGGAGGCGAGGGGAAGGCGATAAATAAAGGTGCGCAGGGGGGAACAGTTACTGATTGCAGGCGCAGGTGGTGCATCAGATCAGCCAGAACGGCGCTAGCCTGTTTTGGGTGGGGCGAGAAAATGAGGACATGCAAAATGGCAATGGCCGTCCCTATTTTCTGGCTTGGATTTCGCAAGGCTCAGTCGGGTGCCCAAGAGGCGCGTTTCTGTTGTCTGCCGGGGTCTGGGGTGCGCGCACCCGTTGGTGCTTGTTTCGGAGGGTGGAGGAGGGTGGGGCGGACCTGACCTGGTCCGAGCTCTCTTCCTGCACACGTGCTGCACCTGCCTGGCCCCGAGTTCATTGGATGTCAAACATCCCATCGAGTTCGACCCCCCCCCCCTCCATAACCTTCGCGACATGGGTCATCACTTCACCCGCGTGTCCACAACGAGAAGTGGTACTGAATTGACGAGCACTGTCACCAAACCTGCTGCTGTTTGTCAAGCGTCGACAGGCACTTTATTCCATACTCTTGAACGTAGGGGCAAGCCCCTTCCCAGCCCCACCTTTCTGCAGATGCTGAGCTTTGGTATGTGTACACGAAAAGCATGTTGCCTCCTCCAACTGCCCGCAATGTGGCTCACCCAACCGCCCCTCAGTTCCACCTTGGAATTTCGTTGCTTTCCTAAACGCCGTACCATGCCATGCGTCGTCGAAACGTCATGTCGTGCCGTCGTACTGGCGGTGCCATAACACCGCTCCCCGCAATGAGGAGACCAGTCCAATCTCCTCGATCCCAGCCCAGTCATTCCACACCATTCAACCGACGATCGCGCCGGCTTCCCAAACCATTACTGCCAATGTAGTGACACACCTTTGAGGTACGGCCCCCAAAAACAAAATTCGAATAGGCCTCACGTCATGAGGGAGTCTTCCATCCCCTGATCGTCCTCTATACTTTCGATCGCCTCCTTGACTTGTGGGCTTGCCTGCTTGCCTGTTAGCGGCGGCACGTCTCGTGAGTCACAACGAGGCACCCAGCTTACCTTCGGATCCAGTGCGAGAGCGACGGTGAAGTGCCGCACGGCCGACTGCTTCTCGCCAGTGCGAATGTACATCTTACCCAAGAGGAAATGCACGTTTGCCTCGTCAGGGGCCAAATCTTTGAGTATCAAAAGTTCCTTTTGCGCGGCTTCAAGCTGGCCGACAGCCAGCAGAGCTCGAGCTTTTTGGTACCGAGTCTGCGCAGCTCGTGGTGCCAACTCGGTGGCCTTGGTGAAGGCCTGGAGTGCCAGGCCCATCTGCTTTTGCTTTTCAAGGACACTGCCCACGCAGCAGATGAGCACTGCATTCGTCGGGTTGATCATGGACGCCGTGTGGAAGTGGATCCTAGCCTTGTCGTAGTTGCCTAGCTTCTCATGCACCTTGCCCATGCCGTAGTAAGCGTTGTAGTGGCGCTGGTCGGCAGTAATTGCCTGTCGGTACGCTCCCAGTGCCTTTTCGTACTCTTCATTCGCAACGTGCTCGTGACCCTGCAACGTAAAGGCATAGGCAAACTTGGGGTCAACCTGAGTCGCCCGTTTGAAGCACCGCAACGCTTGGTCCGGCTCTCTTGCCAAGGACCATGCATTTCCTAGCGTGCACCACGCTTGCGGGGCCAGCCATTCCGAGTCGATAAGCTCGTGAGCCAAAAACGAGAGATCAGTCTCGCGTTTGAGGTGCCACAAGATTGTAGAGTAGACCTCCATGTCTTCCATCCGCGAAGGTGCCAAGACTCGCAGTTTCCTGAAATACTTCTCTGCCTCGACGTACGCCGCTTGCTCATAATGAGCTTTTCCTACTTGTGCCAGGACCCAAGGCGTCTCCTGCTGGCTCCTGGGCAAGCTGCTGTAAGACTGCACTGCATCGTGCCCGCGGAACTGTGAGGCAGCGAAGTACCCGGTCCCTGTCTTTCTCAGCAGGTCCATGATCCACTTCAGAGACTCCTCCATCTTGAGATGATCCGGCTCTTGGGGGGGCGGCTTGACGACAGCTGCTTGGACAGCGGGAGGCTCTTTAACACGTGAGGTCTCGGCGTGGTCGACATCCATGCTATGCTCTTCTTGACGGGGGTTCCGGTTGCCGCTAACAACTCTGCCCACGCTGGAGCCACTAGATCCGGGACGGAATGCCCGGGAGATAGGGGGCCTAGCCTTCTTCAGTTCCCGGGTGGCTGTGGCACCGATAGTGGATGCGCCGGAGTTCGTCTTGGCGGCTGACGGCTTGAACATGTTGAGGCGCGCACTTCTTCGGGTGACGGGCTCCTCGGACTGCTGCCTGGAGACGACTGGGTGGCCGGATACCGTTCGTTTCCTTTCTGCTGCAACAGCCGACGATCGCGACAGGCCGCTCAGCTGATCAGGAAGAGTCTCAATGGGCTGCTCCTGGCCCTTGTCTTGGGACCGCACAGCTCGCTTCGCGCCCAGACGGTACCCCATCCTTGGGGGCGGCGCCTCCATGAAGGCACCCTCGGTTTGCGGCGCAGGTGCTGTTCTGGTCCTACGGGTTGGTGCCGCTGGTGGTACGTCGCTGACGGCAAAATTCGAGGCCGTGCGTACAGCATGCGCGTCGACCACTGGTAGAGGGCCGGTTGGTGTTTCCATGACGTCGATGGACCCGTTGCCCGCTAAGGGATGCGCCAGCCGTGTCCTGGCAGCTGTTATCTTGGACATGAAATCATTCTCCTCTGACTCCGCAGGACCCGCGCTCAGTGCGAATGCTGTGTCGTGGTGGCCGGGCACACGTGATAGCTCGAAAGGATCTGCCACCTCCATCACATTACGAGCGGAGGCCTTCTTCGTCGTGGGCTCAAGGAAGTTGACGGCCGAGCTATCTTTGAGATCCGCCGAAGCAGCCGTCAAGTCCTGCGTGAAGGCTTGCGTGAGAGTATCGTTGACTCGGAAGATGTTGGCTGCCCTGACGGTGACACCAAGATCACAAAGAGCTTGGAATGCGTCGAACATGAACGGGTTAGTTTTGAGTGCATTCTCAAAGCATTCGGCAGCCTTTTTGCGATCATCGTATGCGCGGTAAAGCTTGCCGAGTAAGCATAGCACAGTAGCCTCGTCTGGACACATCGACCGCGCAACTGCGGTATGCTTGCCGAGGTGTGACTTGTTCACCCAGCGATCGCGTGTCTTCTCAAGAACGCTGATGCCGTCGCGGTAGCGCTCCAGGTGAAGACATGATTGGGCAAAGACCCATATTGTGCCCAGGTTGGATCCCCGGTTGGCGGACGCCCTACTGAAGTCAAAGGCTGATCGATGGTCGCCGAGTCGGAAATGGCATAAGGAGAGGAGATGTGTGGACTCGCTCGCTTTCGGGTCCTGGGCAGCAAGCTTCTCGGCAAAGAAGAGTGCATTCTCGTAGGAGTTGTTGTCGAGGTGGTAATATACGACCTGGCGAAGAAGACCAGTGATGGCTGTACTCGACGGGGCCATGACGACGACTGGAATTCACGTCGAGAATATTAAGGGGGCGGTACTATTATCGTCGGCGAACCAGGGCCATGGAAACGGTCGAGTTGGGTGATGCTCGCCAGAAACAGAATCGCTGGTGAACTTCCTCGTCGCTGTTTCTGGTGGTCGCGGTCGCTGCTGGGGCGGTGGCTGGCGAACGATAGCACGACCAGCAATCAGTCATGCGGTGGGATGCGACGAACAGCAAGGCCAGCCGATGTCGCCAGGTGTAGCTTCTGGCAAGGCTTGCTCGGCGATGAATCGCCTGCAATCTGCCTGTATTCGTCGTCGTGGCAAGCCCTAACAGTTCATGCACGCTTCACTTGTCCAGGGCGGTCGAGGGTTGGTTGATGTAGTAGGTGGGGTGGGTGCGCTCTTGTTCGTCTGTTTGGGTGCCGCAGACGGGCAGTCGCGAAGCAGGTGGCGAAACAACCGTTTGGACCGCAATCGCTGCTGGGACAGGAGGATAAAGGTCGCAGGTCGTGCCGGCCGGTCGAGGGGTCGCGATGATGGTCGAATGGTGGGGCCCGGTCTGTTTGGGTTTTCTCGACAAGGGGAGAGACAAGGCACGGTGAAGGCGCACTCGAAGCAGAAAAGGGACAGCTAGGAAGCTCCCGTCGGAAGGTAGAGGGACGAAGAAGGAACAAAGGGGCCCATTGAAGGGGTTCTGTATCAAGTTTGACGAGCTCACTCGATCTTCGGCTACGCCCACCGGAAAGAAGGGACAGGACACGAAAGGGGAGACCGAGTCGTGAGGATGGCTCGGGCGGGTTCGTGGGATGTTTGGTGTTGACGGCGGCGACTGTCTTCGCGCTGGTGGTTCGGTGGCTGGTTGGCTGCGATTGGCTGACGCGACTGCCTGGCAAGCTCGCCCTGGCAACAGGGCAACCGCAACGGATGCGGGTGCGTGAACGTCCAGTGAACAGGGAAGCGCCCAGCCGCTGGAACGATGATGGATTGCCCCATTTCGTCGACAGGGGTTCACACCTCTGCACCCGCCCCGTTGCGCCTGCATTCGACTGACACTGCACTGGCAAGCGCCAGCCAGCGTGTGTCAGGGCTTGAGGGGTGCCAGGCATGCGGCGGGTAGGCTCCAGCCACCAGAATTCCTCCGTTACGCCACATCACCACGTTGCCTCGCTGAGCGGAAACGTCCAGAAGCATGTCGTCACTCGCCAGACACACCTCACGAGCTCACATGTAGCTCCATCCATCACACCCATACACCGGTCCTTCTCGACGGCGCTTTCACTGAGGCTCAACTCACAACCACCGACCGCCGCCCCAATCCCAACACACGGCGCTTTCCATCCTCGGGTTGAAACGCCTCGCATCGCCAAGCAGAAATCCCCTCATCCCACCACTCCCACCACCATGGCCCAAAAAGCAAAGAAGGACCGCGCCAAGTCCAACACGGCGGCTCTCAACAACCTTCACATTGGCTCTGCCACCGTCAACGTTGCCTTCCTGGCTTTCCACTTCCTCTTCCGCTCCCGCTCGCTCTTCTGGTACTTCCTCCTCTCGGCCCCGGCCTTCATCTGCCAGTTCGTCCTCGAGCGCTCCGGACGCCCCACGTACGACGCCAGCGGCGCCCTGCGCACCGCTGGCGAGGACCTCGCCTCTGCCGGTCTGACCGAGTACATGTTCGACGTCGTCTGGGTCACCTGGGCCTCCGTCGTGGCCGTCATCCTCTTCGGCAACGGCGGCTGGCTCCTCTGGCTCGCCGTCCCTGCGTACGGCGCCTATGCCGGCTACGGCCTCATGGGCGCCGCCAAGGGCATGGCCGGCCTGGGTGCCGCCAACAACGCCGAGGGGGCCGAGGCTGCGCCGGCCGGCAACAGGCGGCAGCGACGTGCTGCTTAAGCAGGCCTGGAGGGGAGCGCGGTCCGATGGCCAAGAGAAGAGATCTCGGTCTCGCTCGAGGGAACGCTGCAAGTTTTTTCTATTCTTCCCTGGTCTAAGTCTTTGTATCTGTCGTGTGCACGTTGCTCAACCCGCCGCCTCTCTGGTTCCGGCGCCGTCACTCGCCACGATGCCATGGCTTCTCCTCAGCCCACGACTTCAGCAGCTCGGGCTCCGCGTTCCGGACCAGCACGTGGAAGTGCTCCAGCGCGCGGACGCTCTGCAGGGCCACCCAATTCTTGAACCACAGCACGCGCTCCTTGCCGTCTGCTCCCAAGGCGTCTGCGAAGTATCGGTCGACGAACTCTTGGATCAGCCGCCTGCTCTCGGTCGTCACGTCGCCCGACGCAGGGTCCGTCTCGATGGGGGTGCGCGACCAGACGACAATGTGGGTGATCTCGGACGTCAGGCCGTAGGGCCAGTCGTTAATGAGGACGCGGTAGTCGGCCGGCTCGGCCAAGGGCACGGTCGAGGTCGGTGTGAAGGGCGGGGCGCCCCAGGCTTTGGGGAGGCGGTGGGCGAGAAGGTAGTTTGTCATGGAGCCATACTCGGCCTTGGTTTCCGTCGTCCACTTCATGTACCGGCGCAGGTCGGACGGCTTGCGCTTGAAGACCTCCAGCCTGTTGGCCTCTGTGGGAGTCATCAGCGGGAGTCGTCAAGATATTCAAATGATTAAAAGCTTACCGATTGTTGATTCTAAATCCTCCCAATCGTGCGGTTTGAACTCTTCGTCCGTGAGAGCCAGCACCGCTTTGTCCGTCTCAGTGAGCGGGAAAGGGGTCTCTGCCGGTGCTGGGTCACCCATGATGAAGGTGCTCGCCTAGCTCGTGACGCGGGGTGTGTTCTGTCTCGAGATGCAACAACAGGTAAAGGGAAGCAACAACCACGGCTGAACTGCAAGTTGGATCTGGAAAGACAGTCGAAGATGGATGAAAAGGGAACACTAGGAAGTACGATTCTTTCGCAGAACTCAAGAGCTAGATTTGATGAGTCGTCCAGTCAGTCTGTCTGGTTGCTGACCGACTGCCTGCCTGGGGACCACACCACTACCCCTCATGGCCATAGCGGGATCCATCTGCCCCCATTGAGGTGCCCCCATTGGCGCGTTTCGGCCGCCCAACTCTCGTGTCTGCATCGACAAGGTGGTACCAGCAGCCTGGCGGAGCGACGGCCATCTCGAACCAAGCTCCATCACCTCCCGCAGCACTGCCACTGCCGCTGCTGCACTGGGACGAGCAGCTTTTTGACTCGGAACGCAGCAATCGGGAGATCATCTCCGGGCAAAGAACAAAGAACCAAAACAATGGTCCTGCCCGTGCATGGCATCCTGGGCGCCCCGTCACCGAGTCTTCTTCCCCTCCGAGACGGCAGCATCGCCTTTTCGGCGGCTCGCGAGCGCAGCCTCGGCCGTCTCCTTCTCCTCCAATGCCTGGAACGCCCTGCTCATAGCTCTGAGGCTTTGTACGAGGAGGACTGCATCGCATTAGCCGGCAATCGAACCTCCCGATCGCCAGGTTTCCTCGGGGTTTGTTGTAGTCGACAAGACGGACAAGTGGGAGGAAGGGAGGGAACTCACTGAGCGGCACAACAACCCAAGGCGCATTGAACCCGACATAGTAGACCCAGAAATACAGCACCTCCGGCCGGCTGTGCATCGTCCCGACGAGGGCCCGCTCCGCGAGGCTCGTGGCGTAGTACAGCGCCACGCCGTACAGGTGGCCCACGCATATGACGAGCTGCAGCGGGTGGCGGAGGCGGCTGCCCGAGGGAATGGCGAATGTGACGGAGAGGGAGATGGGGCCCCAGATGATCTGGGAGAGAGAATCTCGTCAGCGCTTGGCCTGCCACATGCATCACGGGAGACCCAAAGGGCTAGTTGCCTGCCGGTCTTGCGAAGCAAGTGACCGATAGAACGGGGGAGGGGCGGAAGAGACGCACAACGGTGAGAGCCTCGACGCAAACCATAAACGGGTCGGACGTCAGGTAGCGTGAGTCGGAGAGGGCGTATTCCTTCCACGCCTGGGCGAAGAGCGACTGGAGACCTGCCAACGTCGCATGGTTCCAGACAAAGTAGCCTGCCGGGTATCAGTGCCGCTCACCTCGTAGGTAGTCGACCCCTGGCGTAGGAAGACTCACCTTCAAAGCAGCAGTGCAAAAACGCGCCGAGGGCAAACCAGCACACGGCGAAGCGGTCGAGGCCTCCGAGGGAAGGCTTGATCAGTCGCGAAATCACAAAAGCGATCGGTATAGGCAGAAGCAGGACGGCGACAAAGGGGACTAGGACTTGAGGGAGAGGCGTCTCGTTCGCGGCGTAGTGGGGAATGAGGATACCCAGGGGGTAATAGGGGTGTGTGGACGACATGTCTCCCGCATCACGGTTGGCCATGACTTTCCAGTGAGCCTCGGGGCTTTGACGTTACGACAGACAACAAGAATACTCGGCATTCGCGGTCTTCAATTGCTGATGAGATGATTTCAGGCAGAGTCTATCTGTCGAGAAGCAGTTGAGATTGCGAGATGCCACGCACACGCCGACAAAAGTAGGGGGAAAAGTGGAGCATATACTTTCTTGGTGAACACCGCGAGCTGGCAGAAAAGGGGGACAGGAAACATGCTTGCAGATAGGCGTTTGTCACATCGACTCAAGCTATGTTGCTGTTGGCAAACGAATTCCGTGAGAGCAATCGATGACGCCTGTGAGAACATGATATATTCTGTTTTATCATAATACAAGTATTCCAGTCAAATCCATTCACGTATATCGAACCCCATCACCAGCAACCCTCGCTTCCGTCAAAATCAACACTTGAACTCCTCTCCATCGCTATACTCTTTCAGAATCCCCTTCAAGAGTGTTTTTGTTGCGACTTCCTTCCGCAACAAGTTCTTTGGGTCCAAAAGACCACATAGAGCCAGATCGCTTTCAAGTAACGCGTCAACACTCTGTGGCGTGGACCCGATGACCTTGGCCAAACACTCGCAGTACATGCTACGGTCGTACCTTCCTAGGCCCCAGAACCGCTCTCCATCACCCGTCCATGCGATAACGTACCCTGTCAGGCCAATCCATATCAAGACTGGCTTCATAACCGCCATGGCTGGGAGTCCATCGTCGAAGGCGGCATCATCTTCACATTCCCACCCTCGGGCCGCCAGGCGCTTGAGTATGGTATCAATGGCCGTCGTGAGAAGCCCCAGAAGTACCGCATACCCGTTTAGTGTCCTTGGCTCGTCAGGGACGAGCGCATCAACATAGAGCAAGCCAGCGAGACGCAACGCCGGCTCGAGGATGTTGTCCGCGTGAGCGGGCACGAGCTTGCCCGGCGCACAGTATCGTGACCCTCTAACTAAGGGCTCCTTGTAGCGACGCTCGCCCAGGTTGAGATCAAGCTCAATGCTTGGGATCTGTGTGCTCTCGTCACGTAGCACACCTGGGAAGCGGATGAGCTGATACATGACCCATAGCCACTCTTCGATAAAAACCTCCGGGTCATAGAGAATGGTGCGCTTCTTGGCGGCCAGGGCTTTTGAGACGGCATGACTGAAAAGAACGAGACTGGCAAAGGATTCGCATATGACCTCCTGCACATTGCAGAAAGCCAGGATCCCCTTGACAGCCTTGGAGAGGCGTGCGCGCGTTGTCCTCGGAAGAGAGTCTGATATGTTGCCGTATATCCTCTCATACTCGAGGTACGGTATGGTGGCTAATGCGGCCGCGGCCTTCACATTGGCTCTATGTGCTGCGTCAGTACTTCAACCGTGTGTGATGAGAAAAAATGTAGAAGGACGTACCGTCGCACTTTGTTCATTACATAGGTCCATTCTTTGTCTATGCCACCAGTAATTTCAAGAATCTGCTTCAGTCCCTTCATGTGCATGTGCCAGTGGTCGTGCCGACCTAGGTGGGCCTGTGATCAGACAGTGTCAGCCATCGTCACTCAGTATTGGGCAACGCTTACGGAGACCATACGCTTCCAACGGCCATAGAGCAGATGCACTCCATAATGCCGTGAGCCTCCTGACCACGAAGTCTCGCGATTTTCCGCAGTTCTCCATTGACGACGCCACAAGCATAAGACTCCTGCTCGAGCATGTCGTCACTGCACCGTTCGCCCTTGAGAACAGCCTCCACCAAACTGCCTGCCACAATTACGGAGACAAGAGAATTCGGTGTGACTTGCAACCTTTCGAAAAATTTCGGCGACCGAGTCGGGTTGTGACTGAGAATGCATTCAAGAGGGTACATCTTGAAAGGGATAAATCGCATGTATAGGTGTAGTAGTTTCTGCTTGCTCACAGACATTGGCACAGAATAATTGTGCGTTGCCCAGACTTCAGCACGCCAAGAGGTTGTGCTTAGATAGGGTGTGCTTTGGTAGCATTGCTGGAATTCTTCAAGAGCCTTCTCAAGTGACTCGACTTCTTCCGAGGATGCAAGAGCTGGATCGTAGAGATATATCGGCCCGACTTGGCTCGATAGAATGCGAGGGGCGTTGGTCTGCGCTTTCTGTGGCTTACTTCTCTTGTTGCTGTCGATTTGAATAGCCCGCGTTGTTTTGTTGAGCTGGAAGACCCGTGGTTTCCTGGGCTCTTGATTTTTAGTGACAAACTTGAAGCGTCTCTCCAATGGCTGCGACAGATCAACCAGATCGGTACTGCGGCTCATTCGAGTTTGTGGGGCCGCCTCTGATGTTTGCTCGGGGCCAGCAATGATATTGACGAACGAGATCCCATTATGTTTCGCTTTTGATACCTGGAGTCCTCGCCTGGTGGTCACGAGGGCGCCACCCTCAACGGTGCAGTTATTGAAGTTGTCCATTTTCCTTGTAGCTCTTGGAAGTATAGAGTCCAAGTTGTGCCTCGAAAGTGCGAACGAAGGTGGGATATATGAGCTGCACTCTCGGTTGGTAGACCCTGGATATCCATGAAGCCAGGACCATGTGGCCCGATATGGAGTCAGCGGCCGTGTGTGACAGTGCACCTCATGTGCACTGCCACGGTATAACAGCGCGCGCCAGGAGGGGATAGAAGTCTTTAAATTGATGGTCGGACCTAGACCAATGGAATGGAACACCAGAAATACCTGGGATATGAGAGCGTAATTCGATGCGTACTTTGTCGGCGACTTCTTGCACGTGGTTTGACGTGAGCCCACAGGTCACCAGCGATCGGGTAGAACCCACTTGGCGGTCAGAGCCCTATCGAACTGACCAGCCGCAAGCCTCGAAGAGGTGGATTCGACAGTGTCAATCAAGGTGTTTTTAGAAAGCCGCGGGTGCTGAAGCCATAGGAGTCTATCCGCCTGAATTCAGTCGGTGTTGGCCGCTGCACGTCAGATTATAGCGTGTGGTGTTCGACGCTGCTGCACAGTTGCCGATCGCTAAAGGCGTCGAGATCCTTTGCAGCAAGTTTGCCGCTGCACAAGCCAGGGGGGCATGTCATCACGCCGTCACAGGGGCTGTGTTGGGATGATTAGGTAGGTCCAGTCCGCAATTGTGAAAGTATACAGCGCTGATTGCCAGCTTGATTATCAATGCATAGCAGGGCCGGGTGAGGTCCTTAATAATAAACCTGGCCGCGCATGAGTACTCGTGCGGTACGGAGAAGGTCGGCCGAGGCGATCCCAGCCTCGTCGCTCATTGTCGTTCCAATCTCGACCCTGCCGCTGGGATGAGCAATGACGACAGCGGACTGCGAGCTCCTCCTCGTTTCTGGCAAGAGTTGATACGCCAGGGTGTCGGGGATACGACATGAGGCGCCCAGGCACAGTGCCAAGGTCAGGGGCACAGCCTTATGTGCCTGGCCCATGGACAACGCCAGGCAGCGGACATCTACGTCCGAATCGGCGCCAGACAAGTTGTCGCGAGGGAAGAGAAGGACAATCTTGGGAACGCTCTCAATGGATGGATCTAGGCCCATGGCTGCGGCACCAGCAGCCCTAATGTTTGCCAGCTTAGCCTTCAACGGCAGGTCCGCTTCAACCGAGTCTGGATTGAGGCTCTCGTGATTCGGCAGGTTGAGGTCGGCCACTCGGATGAAGACGCCCGGATTGCTGACGTCGACGAGTGACGCTGCAATGGATGATCCGTCATCGAGGCAAAGAATGTCCACGGGGTTGCCCGTTGGCAGAGCCTTGCCTGTTTTGGCACCAGCAGGGTCGATGAACTTGAGTGTGATTTTGCTGCTGGGACCAGGCACCCCGTCCATGGTGTAATCACCATGCGGGACGAAACGGGGTGGACTACCCTCGACGCGAAATTGCGAGACGATCGTCTTGGAGGTGTTGGTGTTGAATATGCGGACGGATGCTACAGTGTGGCCGTCGACAGTAGTGAGCTGTGGGGTTTTGACGAGACCTTCATCAAGACTCATGGGCCCAACGACAGACGAGAGGTTACCACAGTTGCCCGCCATGTCGAGCTTTCCATCTTTGATGCCGACTTGTAGGAAGGTATAGTCGACATCAACACCAGGGCGTGATGGTGGCGAGAGGATGATGATCTTGGAAGTGGACGATATGCCAGAGCCCATGCCGTCCAATTGCCTGCCGTAAGGGTCGGGCGAACCCATGGCAGCAGGTAAAACGGTGTGCCATTCTTCCTCGGGAGGCAGATCGCTCCTGTGTATGACGAGGCCATTGGATGTGCCGCCACGCATGAAGATGGCAGGGAAGCTACGGTTTGCAGGTCGGGACGATGATTTTGAAGATGTAGAGAATGTCTGTTGAGACCAAGGAGGGGCTGGCAGGCTTCGAGCAGTCGCCCAGACCGCCTGTCGTGGCGCCGCTGCAGCATACCGAAACATGCCTGACATGCCGGGCGTCATGGAAGAATCACGGGTTGCGAAACTATTCGAGGATGGCGTCAGGGTTGTAGAAGACAGAGGTTAATGTACAATTGCTTTCAACTTGAGGTACAGATCTGCCAAGACCCAAACGGCAGCCGAGGCAAGGAACGCCAGGGATCGGGAAGGAGAACAGTGAGCTAATTCCGCTGCTAGTGCCTCACCATAGGTGTTGTTTTGGCAGCTGCGTCCCGAGAGCTTGGGCCATCACAGCTGCCCTGGCCTAAAACGGTAGGCCTTAGCAGGAGCGAGGCGCCTCGTTCTGCCTCTACTACTTGTTCCATAATGCCTACCTACCTTACCTGGTAGGTAGGTACGGTACCAACCTGGCCGAAGCAGGTGTTCATTACCAGCTCCTCTTCACCTGCCTACGGCGTATCACATACGAGCATCTCGATATCCTTCGCGTAGGTACTTTCGTCGATAGCTGTGATCATGTTCGAGCCAAAGAATCCCGTCTTGTCATGTCGCATCGTAGCTGCGCCTCAATTGTACACGAATGAGCCTCAACTCATCGTATCATCTCGCCGACTCGGCACCGACCGCAGTCTGCGCCCTCCACATCCCAGAACATCAATTACAGACGACATGGCGGCGCCGGAGCCTGATTTGGTACTTCAAGGATGACTACCTAACTTTACTGTCGTGACCCATGTCACATCAAGCACCTGTATCTCTCTGCCCGCACCGGCCTCCATCAGTCACTCCCCGAGGTTGTCTAAGTCCAGGCGAACAACTTTTCACCTGCAAGACACAATTTTAGAAGTACAAAACGTATCAGAATATGATGACTTCCAGTATTCACCTCATCGCGTCCCGCCTCGAGAAGACCCTTGGCTGTCTTCTGAAGCGAGCCAGGAGCATCTCTTCCCTCGATGATCGGCCCTTCCACCACGGCCCCGCGTTCGTTGTTCACCCGGACCCGACTATCACCATCGCCTCCTCAGACTGTGGCCCTTCTCCCGCCGAACTACACGCCCAGTACCTCCACAACGACCTCTTCAAAGAATGCGGTCGTATGCCCTGTTTGTCATGGGACTGTCCAGCGTCTCTCAAGGACGAGGTCCGCGAGTGGCTGCTCATTATCGAGGACCTGGATGCTCCGTGGTGCAGGCCTATTGTTCACGGCTTATATGCCGGTATACCGGCCGTAAAGCTGAGCCTTGAACCAGAGGACTTTGTTGTCATCGATGACGAAAAGTGCACACTCGACGGCGGCTTTCATTTTGGTCGCAACAGCGAAAGAAAAGTGTACACGGCGCCAAAACCCATGTTGAATCATGGACTGCATCGGTGTAAGAAAATTACCAGTGTAGAATCTCCTGTCTTGGTTTGTTACTGACACGGTGTCGTTGAAAGATTCATTTCAAGTCGTGGCCCTCAGTCAACAGTTGGACGTGACACTTCTCCAGTCGAGGGCTACGAGGAAGGAATACGGCAAAGCCATTCAAGGTTTGGTGCTTGGTTGGGGCGTGTGGATAGCGAGCTGCGAGAGGCGCTGGGAGTAGACCTGATGGTCCTGATGACGCTGGTGATACCCGTGATATGAAGCCTTTGGCCACGAAATAGATCACAAACCATGTTACAACTGAACACAGTCTGCTGTTTCCCCCCTCTTCTTTTTACCCTTGCCCCGTGCTGAAATCCGGAATGGTCGTGTACTACGAGCAAATTCAGACACCTTGTGAGGCAACCTACAAAGTGTGTGGCTCACCGTTGCGTATTTTCTTTTATAGCCAGTACGTATCACGTGCGATGATATGGATTTGAATTTCAATGAACTTACTGTCAGTTGCGCAGAAAGGTAGTCCAACACCGAGTTAGGGTTAGAATGTATTTTGTGGCTGAAGTATCTGCGGCCGGTAAGGACATTCCTCCGCACCTAACTTTCCCAAGCCTAACTTCGCGAGATTAAATACATAGAGCAGCTGGATTTCGCTGATTGTGTTTCTCGGCCATCAAAATCATAAAGCAGCAACAACCCCGCTACAACAAGAGATCACCATGAACATAGGTGTATTCAACGCAGACGAGCCACTTTCTGCACCAACAACATGGTCAATTCTATCATTACCATCACGGGAAGTGAATCGGTCGTTGAGAGAACTGGAATGGGCCACTGCGGATCCGTCTAGGCCAGTAAATCCGGCATCCCTCAAACGTGAGGATGGCGGCCCTGGCTGGTCTCTACTCAATGAACATGGCATCCATCGCATACTCCTCCGAACAGCGATTGGTGCTCGCCAGCCATCATCATCCTCAGCACAGAGCCATCAGATCAACATCCAATTTTGCCACGGCTTTCTCACCACTGACGACGCCGCTTGGTCTAATATATTGTCCCAACTGCCAGAAGACTACACCTCTTGCAATGCCCTGCTTTCTGAGCGCATCCTTCCAATACCAGAGTCTGCTCGCCGCCTCCTCGTTGAGAAGTACTGCCCCGAGCCTACACGCGAAAGCATGCTCGCCGATCCTAAGAATGAAGACTGCATCATCCGCGCCTATCTCGGCCGCCGTCGCTTTCGGCCAAGGGCTGCCTCGCGCTTCGCGGCTTTCAGTCTGAGAAATTACCCTCTCCACGTGGACCAGATGGATGATCTCGGGCTTGATCTACCGGTATATGCGGCGGCTGCCATGGCACAGGCTTTGGCGTTTATGCATTGGAGGGCTCGAGTGGATGCGAATGATGTCTAGTTTGTGCTCGCATCAGCTCGGGGCCTGAGCGAGGGTGCGACATTTGCTCCTGATGGAAAGGTGTTTGACCAATTCTCGTTGGGGAGCCATGTTCTTTGGGTGTTAGATTTTGATTGTTGTCGAAAGCTTTCGATGGATGAGGAGGGCCTTGCGCATGCTGTTGTCAAGTCTTACAGATCCGTTTTATCCGAGACCGGGGACAGGATTGGAGGCTGATGAAAGGCACTGGAAGTCGTTTCGGGAGGCGCACCTCGAGACTAGCGACCTCTTACTGACGGAAGAGGATGAGAAAGTGCAGAGGTTGCCATTACTTTTCTTGGACGAGGTTGTAAGGCGGGTGAGCGAGTTCAAGAAAACAATAATACAGAATAGCAATCAGACATTGTTCGTCGTTGGATCATCAAGTATAAGGTAGTGACAGTACATCGTTATACGACTAATTACTATATGCTCTCTCGCAGATCATAGTCTGCGTCCAGATCCCATAATTACCAGTAATTTTCCACTTCTGATCAAGTCGTCACACACAACAGTAGTAAATACTTTGGTTTGCAGGTTAGCATCGCCTCTGGTCATTGCAGGTCATCACACGTACGACAATCAATATGACTGGCTTCTCTGCATATCCACTGTTCAATTTTTTATGTTCGTTGAGCCTTTCTGCCTTCAAGGCATATTTATTCTCTGTAATCATCATGGATATCTACGATGTGCATTGTTTCCTACCTTTCATATATTCAAACCATTGTCTATTACAACCGTTCATCGCTAATCTGCCTCGTGTATCTTCGCCTGTCCACAACTGAGAATTCTATCCTGGCATCAAGAGGTTCGGCTCGCCGCCCGCTCTTGCGCCCCCTTCCCAGTCAAAATCGTCCATAACATCCATCAACATGGCCCAGTCGACATCCTGCATCAAATCTCCAACCGCAACATCCTCGGCGGTGACAGAAGCTACATTTGTTAGCAGGAAACCGTACAAGGTGGCCACCAACTCCTCCAAAACAGCCAAAAAAAAAAAAAAGGACTAGCACTCACGAGCATCATCACCCCCCTGGCCGATCTGCGCATCCCGCTCCGTCCTCAAAGCATCCAGCCGCCTCCTCCACCTTTTGACACACCCGAACGCCCCCAGCGCCCCGACCCGCCTCGGACACTCCGTCACCGGCGCCTCCAGCGCGCCCAGCCGATGGCGCACCCCCCAGCACGTCTCCAGCAGCCTCAAGACCCAGCTTGCGAGGTCCCCCTCCCGCACGACGCACCGCCCCACGACCGCCAGCACAGCCCGCACCTCGGCATCCGGGTCCTCCACCCCGTCTGCGAACCCTGACATGAGCGCATCGAAGACGACAGCGACGGCATCAAACACGGTACGGTGAATGTTGTACGGCGCGTGCACGAGGAACCGCGGCCCCGTCCGCCCTGCATCGCCGTCCTCGCCATCGAGCCGCACCGCCGCCTCGACCACCTGCTGCGCCGTGCCGTAGAGCCGGTTCACGTTGGCCCGGAGCGTCGCCGCGGGCGTCGCCGCCACGGGCGCGAGCGCGTACGTCTGCACCTCGAGCTGCGCCGCGAGGAGCGTGAAGCGCTCGAGCTCGGTCGTCTCGTGGCGCGCGAGCGCGGCCCTGACGCGCGCAAAGTCGTCTTCGAGCAGGCGCAGCACGGCGTCCGGCACACCCTCGGCGTCCTCGACGACGGCGAGCACGGTCCGGCTGAGGCGGTTGCAGAACTTCTGCGCCTCGTAGAGGAGCCCGAAGTAGCCCATTGTCTCGGGCAGCGGCTGGCCGCCCGAGACCCTGCTCGCCGCTTCGTTGAAGAAGCCTGCTGGTGGCGGGTATCCGTTTATCGAGGCGATCCTTGAGAGGCTTAGCTTTAGGGAGGCGGGTGTGAAAGGAAAGCGGGTCATCTCTGCTGCTGCGAGTCCTGGCCTTTCTATCTTTTGGGGGGGCCATGGGTTGAGGGGACTGACCTTTGCGCGAGAATATTGTAACCCGTCCACGTATAACAAGCTTCCTCGTCAGTTGCGGGCCTGTGGAGGTAGACATTTGTAAATTCCCTGTGGGCGCCCCGTCCCGTGTGCAGACCCAGCATGAGAGAAGCGTTCATAGCGATGGCCACATACGAAGACGACGGGTCACTAGAGTTGTTGGCCGAGGGAAACGGCCATGCCGACAGGACGAGTAGGGCATTGATGGCGGGCAGGTCGAGGGGCGGCGTCATGGCAACGGCCCAGACCTCTCGCGGGAGGTTCTGCGCCAGGAAGGAGAAGAGCTCTGCATCGCAGGCGTAGGCGCGACAGGCGACGGTTATGATGGTCCAGAACAGGATAGGACTGGCAGCGTAAACCCTGTTGGGTTCACGAATGCGCACGATGGGAAAGTAGGGGTGAAAGTGCTTGAAGTATTGATCAAAGTAGTACTCGACTTCCTCCCCGGGGAGGACTTTGGAACCCAGCGCCCTCGGCTGAGTGGGCTGGCGAGGTTCAGACGTTGGGGTCAAATAGGCCTCTGTTGCTGGCGCGAGCCGGGCCTCGCCTTCGGGGTTCTGGGGAGATGGCAAAGCTGGCAGTGGTGCTCTCGGCCGCTCGGGGAGGGATGAATAGGTTGTGGGGCTGAGGTCTGGAGACGGCCCCGACGCCGGCCCTGTCAGTCGGCCGTGCGGAGTCGGACTCGGCGTCAGCCCCGGCGCATTTTGCACGGCATTTTTTATGGTGAGCATCTCCTTCTCGAGCTCCTCTAGTTTGCTAACAGAGAGCACAGGTCAGTGGTACATCGCTATGAGATGCAACGTGAAAGAGTTCGGTGCTGCCCTCGACCGCTCACACACCTTCGTCGCGTCGTGCGCTTGTGCAACCTGTCCACCACGCACTGGATCCCAAGCTTGCGACAGCGGTGACATGACTGATTAGGCGCCGAGCTCGCGTTGCATTTGACCTTGTATGCACCATATCAGCAGGACTGCACGACCTTCACAGCATGAGGTGCAGAGCCGCCCTGCCATGAGAGCACAAGCCTGGGCTAGTCCGGCACATTGTCTCTGCAGGGAAGATGACTGCTGATGATAGTTGGTGGCAAAAAAACATACCTTGGAGTCGCGGCAGCTCGTGCAGGCCGTATTCCGCCTGACCCTTGTCGGCGTCGGGTCCGGCACCGAGGAAGCTTTGTCGGACATAGGGGTCTCTACCTTGTATAAGCTAAGGTAACAGGAGGTAGGTCGGTACTTAGCCGCACCGGGCTACGGAGGCGAAGTCGCACCTCAAAGGACCGCTCTGCATGTTCTCCCACTGACTTAGGAGGGCTGAGCACTGACTTAGGAGGGCTGAGCACTGACTTAGGAGGGCTGAGAAGTGACAATAGAGGAGCAAGAGGCTACCATAGGGTTGGTCCTCCGATCGACTATAGTCAAGGCCTCGATTGATCGCATTCGCGGCGCCCGGAACATCATAAGGCTTCACCCAGCGTCGGTGCCGAATCGGCAGAGTGACGGTCACGTGAGTTCTGTCTTACCACGATCAGTCTTGACGCCGACACTGCCACACTTGTGGACTAGGCACTGCGTAATCCTTCAAGGCTCCCATCTTCCTGCAGCCTTCAGCAGTATTCCAATACACCAATGATGTCCATGTTCCTCGCAAACATGATCTTTCTAAAAAATTTGGCATTGCATTCAGTTGCTGCCCGGAATAGCCCGCATATTGCCCCAGCGTCATCCAACAACGCCTCCCATTCTTTGGTCACCCCCCACCCAGGATATTGTTCTTGTACAAGACGCCGAAATGATCAACCCCGTGACGCCGAAAATATAGACCATGTTCAGTTCAGTCTGGCCCCAGCGAGACCTGCCGATGGCCAACTTCCCTCCTCGTTTCCTGCCAACATAGTCCACGGGTCCACCCCCGACGGTCCGATCCCGGCCCCAGCAGCCCCGGCTGCGCCTAGCGGCATGTCTCCCATGTTGTTCTCATCAGGTGAGAACATGAATGAGCTTGGCATGCCGAAAGCGCCTGAGAACGAAGGTGGAACTGCCGACGCGAGAGGCGGAAGCCCTTCGTGGGTCAGAGAACCGACACCTGTGTCTTCGCCCTCCACGAACCCCATGCTCGGGCCAGGCGTCTCCCCACTCGTGGCCTGGGAGGGTGTGCTTATATTGTACATCGAAGGTGATGCCGTTGTGCTTGTCCTATGCGGCAGGACGACTGGCCTTGTGTTGGCGCGGGGTGCGATACCCGTGGCGCGAAGCAGACCGCTGCCGTACATGCCTCGCCCCGACATGCTAAAAGATTCGTGGGTGCCCACGTCGTTGAAGTTGATGTTGTCGTACTCTGAACCCGGGTCATCGGGGAATTGTGTGGGTTGTGCCGGCCGCTTCCTCTTGCCCTGCACGTCTTGCGCTGAATGCGGCAGCACATCGCTGAACCCAGGCGGATCATTCAGCTCTTCCACGCCCGAGCCAGACTGTCCCGGGCAAGCATTGGATGGGTGGCGGTTGCCGGGAGGCAACCTGCCCGAGAGCGGTGGCTGGATCCCAGTGTGCTTCGTCAGATAACTCTTGACGAGCAGGGGAACATTGGGAGACGACCATCCGAACGCATTCCTGTGGTTCGCCAAGCTTGGCAAGTTGATGACAGAGGCTAGACCGTTCATCTCGACGTCGGCGCAGATTTGTTGCAGGAACGCCTGCGTGATGAGATGGTTTTTGGCAATAGATTCCATGGCGTTGATCAAGAAGTCAAGGTTATTAAAATCAGTGCGCGAGAGCCCGGACTGCGGGCTTATCTTGACGATGTAGACATAGACTGATACGGCACAGTACATGGACAGCGCGGCGAGAGGGCTTTTCTGCAAAGCCGTTAGCAGTGACAGACACGAGCGGACCGACAAGGCACGGCGGGGTATACATACAAACCCGGGGCTCACATGACTCGATAGCCGGACAATGTTCACGATCTCCTCTGCCGCCGTTCTCAATCGTGATTGGGACGCGATACGCAAAGACTCGGGTAAAATATAGGTTTCCACCTTCTCGACGGCGGCATGGTGCAGGCAAATGATACCGGCATGCAGGTTGAGGTTGGTGTGCACGGCTGTCGGGTTCCGCAGGTTTTTCGGTAGGCGGAACCTTTCGGGCATGAACATGAATGCACTGGAGATTATGTTATCAAGCTCTCGGTGTTTGTGCCAGAACCCTCCAAACTCAACGTCTTCCGGGCGGTCTGTTGCCTTGGTTCGGTGAACATGGCGTAGAATCTCGTTGAAAATGTGGCATATGATGATCGCGCCCGAGAACGTCGAGTACCAAGCCCCAGAGAAAGCTTCTGCTAGACTGGAGGTCCTCTCCTCGCGGCACTCGTTGAAGGCTTCTTCTGAAGAAGGCAGGTTTGTTGTGATCTGGCATCATAGTTTAGCACTGGGACCAGCAGGGTGCAATGCTGCCAAAGAACTCACATCGTGGGGATCGATCAACGTCGGCCACCCAGTAGATATACTTGCGTGGCAGTCAATCGTAAAGACACCCCAAAACACTCTGCGGCGCTCCTCAACGTCCGTCCAGTCCTTGGGCGGCGCCAGTGTAGGAGCCATGTCGTGTCCAGCACCGTCAATTCGGTGCAGGCCCATCATCTCTACAAGACGGACTGCCTTGGCCGAACTCATGGCAGCTCTCGTGAAAAGCATGCTGCGCGCCTCGGTCATCGCAAGAAGTCCCCATGTCTGGGCGTGAGCTATCGTGACAAAGTGTTCGCCATAGCCCTGGAACGAGTGAGCTTCTCCTCGCGTACCAAAATTGCATTGCGTTTCAGACATACCCGCATCTCATCATTGTCCGCATATTGTCGGGCACGCTTGTAGAACACGTCATGATATTGCGAATACTTTTCATGACCACTAGACGCTGTCGCCCAGATGGCATACTGTAGGCACATGGGGGGCCTTTTATGCGGTACCGAGTAAAAGGCCTGGAAATACCGTCCCGGGTGAATCATGGGAAGGAAAGGGTGCTGACGCTGAAAGTATGTGTTGTTCCTGGCCACATCAGCATTGGTTTGTCGAAGAAAGATGTTCCAGGACTTACATTTCCTCCATCAACTCAAAGGGGGGCAGTGGCTCCGTTAATCCAAGCGCCATCAACTCCCCCGACGGCACGAACGTTGAAGGCACCTCGAGGCCTGGAACGGCCGCATTCTGCAGCAGGCTTTCTGATCCTGGGATGGAGGCGCGATGTTTTGCCATTTCAATATCAGGATCAATGAGGAAATCATCAAAGACCCCTGTCGGCCATTGATCTTGCGGAAGGTTGGCCCAATTGGCGGGATTGAATGGCCTTGTGTTGCTCTCCTTGAGAAGACCTTCGACCTGAGCTGGAGGGAGTGAGTGAACGATTCACAAGGACTGCGAAAAAGGGGCAAGGCGATGAGATACCTAGCCTCTCTTCCAGCTCTCTCACATTTCTCCGCTTGAAGGCCGGCTTTCTCCTCGACTCAGGATATATACAGTCGCCATTGACCTTTCGACAGCGACTGCACGCAGGCCTCACTCTGTCGCATTTCAATTTGCGAGACCGGCAGGTCACACAGGCCAGAGACTCGGGGTTCTGGATCCCGGCTCCGGAGCCTCCTAGCTCAGCCGGGGCAGTGTCGTAGTTCATCGCGGCACGGACACGGAGCAAATGCCAAGGCGGTCGAGTCGGGGGATGACGGCACAGAACGCAGGTTGCCCACACACGGAAGGCAAAGTTCAGGAGGGAGAGCAAGGAAACGCCAAAGCCGTCATCAAGTCGTCAACAGGCATAAACGCCTCGCGATGACTGCTGCAAAGCAATGGGCAGGCATTCTGCTTCCGGTACGTACTGCGCGTCCGAGTGCGGAGAAATGTTTGACCGAGCAACGACACTGCGAAAGTGGAGACAAAAGCGGCGGTTTCTGTAAGTCTATGACGACGTTGTCCGAGCTTAATCACACAGTCAGCGATGTCCGGAATGGGCTCAATGCTGCGAAAGGCCAACACAAGACGCCAGACCTTTGAAAAGTCTTTTACCTACGCTTCAGCATTCAAACCCTCAACTCGTATCTTCATGATCAAAGGCCACATTCTGGAGCGGGAACCCACATGTGGCGTATGCACTGAGCGTCACTTAGGTTCTCACTGTCGCAGCACTCTTGGCCGGCTGTGTGCCTTCATTGACGTTTGCCTCGGAAAAAGGCGACAGCAGCCGGGTTGGCAGAGGGTCCTAGTTTAGTCCTGACGGTCATTTGATAGAGCTTCTTCATTTTCTGCACAGCCTTCCAACCAGAGCATAGGCATTTCAAATCGAAATTCATTGAATGGACCGCCGAGTTGAGATTGCTGAATCCTGGTGTTATCCAGGGATCGGGCTTTTGACCTGTGAGCCCCTTTAATCGGCTCTGTGGTCCTTGCCGAGCCGCTGCTCACTTGTCCAATCCTGTCAGGGCCAGAGAAAGTCTAGGACATTAAGCCGTCGGGTTCCTTCTTGAGCTGTACACTCGGACGACGGCTGTCATGAATCAAGGCGGGCAGATCATCGGTCAAGACACGACGCTGTGCGTGGTCAACTCGGCATGTGCCATGACGGAAGGTTTCCCTCCACCTTGGGAGCTAGCTCCAGCTGATATGCACATACACACCCTTCTCCTTTCCGAACCACGGCGACCCGTGACGTAGCAGCAGCTAACGTGGTGCAGGTGCTATTTGAGATGGACAATTGCCACTGCCTTGGATCCCAAGTTTTGCCAAGCTAAAGCCAGAGAGGTTAGGTGTAGAGAGGCAAACGCTTTCGCTGCTAGTACGCCGGCTGGCAGCGCCCCTTTCCTTCCCTAGGTCATGGCACCGGGACAGTGAAAGGGCCACCCCAGCTCAATACCGGATGAGGGCCGGAAACAATTGCCCACGGTGGGTGCTTGTCGGCCACGAAGAGTCCGTCTTGTTCTAGCGCACATGAGGCGGATGGCCAGTTTCGGCCTGGGTCCAAGAGGAGTCGACACCAAGGCTTCATATTGGCGACTCGTCGGACGGGTCTGGTCTCGTTGCTGGCCAGAAGCCCCCTCAGCTTGTCGGTTGACACGAGGCGGCGTCATGTTGGGGCTTTCCCTAGGCGGCCAGGCGAAAGCAAGTGTGTCCTAAATGAGAGTCTCGATGAGACATTAGTCCCAATGGACTGCTCGACGAGTCCGTGTTAGGCGACGGGCCATACTGGCGGGCTGGTTCTGACGCCTGGTTTGGACGTAGCGCGCGGGGCCGAGCCGTACGGTGAAAGAGGGCTCCAAGCGGGGGCGGCGAATCAACAACGGAGGACGGTGGGCTAGCCAGGCGTGGCGCCCAAGCAGAACAGGTGCGGACTCGAAAAACTTGTCGTCAAGCCGCATCGACATCTGGGACGTGTGGTGGTAGTGGGGGGCTGATCTTGGATCACCGGCGTGAGGCGTTCGGCAGGGTCAGCCCGGCGACCTTGTTAGCTGGCCGCTATGGTAGGAAAGAGATCACTGGCAACGCCTTTGCACCGAAAATCGAAAACGCACAGGCTCTCGAACCAAGGTTAGAGATGTAATGAGAGGAGTCTGGCTGGGGCTCCGAGCGGTTTCACTGAAAAATCACGATGGTCGATATGCTGTCCTCCTTTCGCATACCAAACACCCTGTGGAGGATCTGGGGTTGGGAGGGCTAAACCCGCCGGCGGAAGCCAGGGAGGGGGGCTTGATCGAGGCTGTGGCTGAGGGAGAGCACAATCAAGATTGTCGCGGCAAACTAGGACTGATTCGACACATGATTGACGCGACTGCTTGGTATCCAGGGGATCGACGGCCGAAAGGCGAAGATAGCCAGGCCTGGGCCTTGGGGAAGTTGGGGTTGAAGTGCGTAGAGGGTACGGTGCGCATGGCGTTCCAGGTGTATCAGGACAGAACTGCTACCTGCCGGGTATCCTGGCTGCACTGGGGATCGTCGGTGTTTCGACCCCAGCAGCGTGATGGCCTTGGGCCATACATTTTTACCCTGTCAATGCATTTATGTCATGATAGCTGATCGCGAAGGAGACTGGTTCGGATACACGGCAGACGGCGCGAGTAGGCGAAGAGCGCGATATCACAATCTCTCCCCGGCCCGTCCCAAATAAAGCCCTGTTGGTTGAGCCATACTAGGAAACAGACCTAGGGGCAACACCGAGGGGGGTGGAGGGGAAACGTGCATGTCGCGCACCTACGGGCAGGAGAACTTCGTGCCGCCGTGTCTGCTGGATACGACCTCGTTGTGCTGGTTGTTGAGGTAGTTGTGCAGAGGTGGGGTGGGGTAGCTGGCACTCGCGTGATGAAGCTGCACCATAGATGAGACGAGGGGCGACAGCTGTCATATCTTCTCGAAGGATGAGAGTTATGCAAGCTTGTTGTCAAGCCCATCTCTGTAGGGCAATGCCAAGGACGTGGTCGAAAGGCAAAGCGGCCGAGACGCGAGGCAAAGGCGTGGATGTGGCCGAGCGTTGCCCGCTTTGCCTCTTGCTAGATGGACGGACTCGGGGCAGAAACGACACCAAAACATCCAGGATGGGGGCAGAAATTTCCGACATTTCGCACCGTCGTGGAATTAGCGCAGAGGTTGTTTTGGTGGTTAGGGTGGTAGAAGGGGGCGAGCTGGTAGGGCAGGTTGTGACGCACGATGGGTCCAGCTTGGGGGGACGGACGGAGGTCAACATGGGAGAAATAACACTTTCCGATGTGTCGTGTTCGCCGTGGCCGGGGGCAGATCGGCTAAGAGCGGGCATGATTGGGTGGAATGTGGAATCCAATGCGGCGACACGGGCCACTGCCCAGGGTGCCTGCCCCAAACGCCCCAAGTACCGCGCCTTCAAACGATCGCCGCCGTTCACGCCCACCCCCCCTGCCCTGCCCTGTACCGATTGTCCTGAAATGCCCTGAAAGCCCTGATCCGCCGGCCCTGATTCACGGCCGGTGCCCACCGCGGCCCTGCCTGCTGGCTGCCCTGTCTGGGTAGGAAGAACCCGTCCGCCCACTGTTTCCCTCCATTCCCCTCTTGGTCAGGAACGTCCCACACCCCACTGATTTTCCGGCAAGGCAGGGTACCTACCCAGGCTTGCCAGGGTATCGTAGGCGGCCAGGGTAAGCAGGCAAGGCAGGTAGGGTGAGTGTGTATTTATCCCTGCCGGCTGCACCTGCCCCCGCACGAGCCACGAACGATGCTGCATCAACGACTCGGGACCCGTCGGGCCCATCGAATCGAAATCGAGACCCAGTGGGCTCCTCATTCCACTTCATTCCTACCGTCCTAACCCAACATCGTGCTTTCGAGCGACAAGACAGGTACAGGCTATCCAGACAATCCAGGGATTCCCGCGATACACTTCGACACTACTCCCTATGCTTACGCCCACACCTCACCTACCTGCAGACTTACTACCATGTAGTACTAGTAGTACACCCTCCGCTACCCCTTTGACGTACAGCCCGCTAAAGGACGACATGGCCGGGTCCATCCCAGGAAGTCCGCCCCATACCGCACCTCGGCCTGTCAACCCAAGGAAATCAATGCTTTGACAGCTGTAGCTGCATCAGATTGGGTATGGGTTTCGCTTGCTCATGGCCGCTGTTCAGCACGAGACAAGTACACCACCACAGGCCGAAATTCCTCGGCAGCGGGCGCCGAATCCATTGAAAATCCTCGAGGTCCGGCCCCAGCCACCAAACTGCGCCATCCTCCCCCTTTTCGATCGCCCTTTGTCTAGGCACTGGCCATCAATGGAATAGTGACGGGTCACCGGTCAAAGCTGAAGAAAAATGACGATGACCTGGGCAAGTACCATGGTCATCCCCAATCCCTCGGCTGACGATCACCTCGAGTCAGCCGAATGTTCATCGTTCCCCCAACATGATCGAGCTCACCGTTGAGCCCTGGTGCGTCGCCACGAGGCTTCGTCGAACGCCTCCGGAGCTACGTCCAAGGTTAGAGAAACCAATCTAGACCGAGACCTCAATCAAGACAAACCACTGTCTTGTCTCGGATGGCACGCACACGCCCTGCGGATATTCCACTATCCGCTTGATTCCCACGTCTCTGACCGATCGGCACATGCAACCCACATTCCGTGAGACCCATTGAGAGCTCTGCAAGGTTTTGCGACTCGATTCACTTCGTCTCAACAGTAAATGCTCAGCCTCCAAAGATGGGTGCCCCCAACCACAAGTTAGCACTTGCCAGTCCAGTACCCAGCAGTTGATCACCTGTTCCCACCAGGGCCAGGCCAGTGCGGTGCAGGACGATCAGCATGTCACACCAGGGCCCAAGCAAGCAACGATTCGATGGTACAGGCCTCTCCCTCCCTCCGCTTGCTCCGGCTCCTTTAGCTCCTGGCAGATATGCCGACGGCCGGGCTGCACTCCCGCCCCAATCCCAGCCAGCCAGTCCCGGCCCCGTCTCCATCCATCCCATCCCAACCTGGCCTCTTGCAGCCTGGCAGCGGCAACGTTCAAGCACGGGACAGCATCTACTGGTCTTAGCCTTGACGTCTGACTCTTGGATCAGCAGCGCTACTCCACGCCTTCGTTGTGACCTTCCAGACAGAGTCGAAGGCCCGTCTCCGGCATCCGTCATGACACCTGCCCTCCCTCTGCTAGGCTGGTCTTC